GTAAATGTAGATATTACTGCAAATGATTTATCACACTGCCTAAAGGGACATGCCACTGATCTTCCCTCTTTAATGTGCATTTTAAGATGGGAATAAAACTGAGTCAGTGTATCACATTCAGCACTACACAAGTCAATATGGCATGCAAGGTTTACTGCAGGGCACAAACGTGATCTAGGCACCACCACACACTCCTTGTGATGTCTGTAAACATGTGCTATCAAGGCAGGTAATTTTTTGAACTTCCTGTTGCAGCCCAGGATGCAACAATAAAGAATCAAGTTAGGGGTATTGCTATGAATCCTCAAGTGCTTCACATAGGCCACTATAGTACTACACTGATGATCACAAAACTGACACAGAAACATACTGACAAGTCAAACTGTACAGCATAGGAAAATATCAACAGAAATAAACTGTAGGCCTACTGATAGAAGTACTGTTTTATCACCTAAACATCAGGTGAACTTGCATCCAATATTGCCCTCCCCTCAGAACAGAGAGAGAATAAGATTAGCTGTTTTGTGTAATGTGACAGGTTTTGGAATTAATGAAAAACTAGCGAGCTAATATTAGAGGTCAGGCTGCCGGTATGTTAGCACGATACAGTGTCAGCAATGTCATTTCAATGCAACAGCGTTTGAACAATTAACTTAGCAAAGGGATTGAGAGTATCATGTTGGATGAAACTCACCATGTTATTGAGAATATCTGAATAAAACAAAAAGGTCTACTTCACAATGTAAAAATTGCCACAGTTCCAGTATACATAATCCGACTTTGTTTTAACTCGCAGTGGGAAGATGGGTGAAAATCCACGTTTGCTCACTGCAGTTGTCATAAAATACTACTAGAGACAAATTAGAACAGAGGTATGGTACCAAAATGTTGTCTAAAGTTGCATGTTCTGGGATTAATGAAAAGCTAGCAGGCCAGTGTAATATATCGTTTTAATACAATAGTGTCTGAAGATTTAACGAAACTCACCGTGTTGGGAATTCAGTCAAAAACTAGAGCTCCACTTCACCATGTCCCATGTCGCCGCTGTCACGCTTAACACTGAAATAAGTATAAAAATAGTCACAGTTCCATTATCTACAATAATTCGTTTTTGTGTACACTTACGAGCAAAGCAAAAGGACACTTACCAACTGTAGTTGGAAGAGGATGGGGATAATGAAAATCCACGTGCTCACAAAATACTGTTAAATACTGTTTTCTTTCCTTCGAGCAATAAATACGGTAAAATGCCGTTTTATTTTGTTTACGTCATTTCACCCAAGTAAAAAAACAGGAATGTACAGCTTTTTAACATAACAGGATTATACTGTTGAAATTTCGCCGTAATATTACAGCAATTTCTAAGAGTGTGTAGTAGTGCAACATGGCTCCATGTTCCTAAACTATATCATTATTTTTAAAAAGGCTTAAACATGACTACCATAGTAAAGGAGACCATATCTGCCTGTAGTCCTGTGAATCCCCCTGGCCATAGCCCAGAGTCTACCCAATCCTTAAACCCTCAATTTCTCTGTTCATCCCACTGAATTAGAGTCCACATCATAATCCATGTGGGCTGAGCCAGGCCCACATCTACATCAATATGTCTCCCTCTGTGTAATCTGCTTTTCTGAGGTTCACCAGTGGCCCATAATAATGTCAGAGCTTCATGAAACAGACTGCAGCTTCAAAGAATAGCCAGAAAAGGTACATCATGGGGATATACACTACTAGATGCAAATGTTCTATTCTTGCGCCTTTTCCTTCCTTTCTGCAGGACATCTCGTTAAGCAAGAGAAAGAACAGCAGTGTGAACTTCTATGAGAACACAGATCAATGTCCTTGAGCTAATTTGGAAATTGTAGCCTCTGGCATACGCATCCATAAAACCTACACCATCCATATTACAAAACATCACTATAAAAGCTGAGTACAAAACAGGCTCAAAGCAAATGCAATAATGGTGAACAGGAGAACTGACCAGAAAGCGGGTTATTTTCAAAAGTTGACTGATAATGTAAGTAACTGAAGACAGATTATGTGAACCAGGAAGAGTCACTGATGCAGTGTGGCAGAAAGAGAGAGACTATTATTAGTCAGCAGGTCACTGTGTTGAAATAAAAAACCTCTTTTGAAATAACACTGACTTCACTGTGTGAAAACTGCCCTGAACATCTTTAATAAACTGAGTCAGTGATGAGAAGATTCTGTTTAGATGGTCTGTGGTTCAAAATGAATCCCCAAAGCATCTCCAGTGGCTTTTGTACCAGTTGCTCACAACAAATTTTGTCTGCAAGAAACATTCCACCGATAAACAAGAACAAACATTTCCCATAAGGCCACAGGGGAAGATTTTGCTCTTACACAAACCTGTCCATGTTGCTTGTCAAATACATATAAATTGTTTTAGAGTCAATAATCCTTCCCTAAATTTTTATTTAAAGGTATGGAAAGAGGCTGTAAGACTGACTGTATTTAATTTTTATCAGCATGTTTTGGGCAGTAGTTAGTGTTACACGATATACCGGTACTAGTATGGTACCGCGTTACTGAGGCATTTAAAATGGTACTATACTGCATTTGGATGGGACCGGTACTTGCAGCGCCGTCGGCAGCGCCCGCCCGCAACAGAGGAAAACAGAGCAGGAAACAGCTTCCTCGTCCTCTGCTCACTGAGCAGCGTGGACTGGAGCAACAAACGGAGCAGGAGGAAAGCTTGGAGAGAGCAGAGACGTTGGAGAGGGAGAGGGAGAGAGCGAGAGAGAGAGA